ATTCCTCAGCTAACATGTTTTCCTACTATGGAATCTTGCTCTCTAAGGATTTTTTTTGGCTGAAAATAGATAACATTCTTGATAAAAATGTAAATAGAGTGAATCTCTGAGTATCTCAAGCTGCCTTCGTTTCAATTCCCTGCATGATTCTGACGAAAATTAGGGTGCCTTTTACATTGGATACTCTAGATTAGTGGGCCCCGAACGTAACTGTCTCCAAGGATTTCACAGAGAGCTCTTCTAAATTTAAATTTTCACATCCACCTAAAAATCCACGGACTCAGGATCCCCAGTCAATGGGTCCTTGGAATTCTTTTCTTTTTCTTTTTTGAGTTAAGCTACCCAAATTACTCCAATGGTAAGCACGTCTATAGATCTACAGACCAGTGCCTCTCAAATTTTAATGTGTGTATGAATCACCAGGATATCTTGTTAAAATCCAGAATCTGATTCAGTAGGTCTGAGGTGGAGCTGAAGATTCTGTATTTTTAACAGAACTCCCTGGTGCTGCACCGGTTTGCACACCACCCTGTGAGTAGTGAGGAACTAGATTATATCCAGAAATTTCCCCCCTGCAATCCAGGTCACAGCTTTCTATTCCAGAGAGTCTGTTTAGCCAGCATGCAGCATGTCAGAAACTTTCTTATTTCCTTGCTTGATATCTCTTTGCTTTGAAATGTTGCTTGAACAGTTGCTAACCCAGATTAGGTTAACCACTCACTTTGGTTTTTCCAGCAGGGGCCTAGTATATGCCTATTATCCTGGTAAATTACTAAAAATTCCTTCATTTGAAAGACAATTCCTTCATTTGAAACCCACAAGCACTGAGATGTGATATGTTATAATGCATAGAATATAGGTTGTGTAGGATCAAATTCTGCCTTTACTTCATACTACATCTATAACCGCAAGTAAGTCAAGCCTGTTATCTCGCAGGTAAAACAGAAGAGGTTTATTATGAGGATTTATAGAAATGATATAAGCAGCTTCTAGCACAGTGACTGGCATAGAGTAGGAACCCATTTATTTAGGCCCCTATTTCTTACAGTCAATGAAGAAACAGCTCTTCTACTTTGGAATAATAAAAATTCAGTGCTACTGTCAAGTTAGGGTCAGAAGCAGCTGTAGTATTAAAATGATGCACTTGTAGTTGAAAATATACTTGTGTTTCTGTGCAACCCTCATTAGCTGCCTATGGAATGTGTGTCTGAACCCATGTGATTACTATGTTATTCTGTGTACTTCAGGGCTAGGTTGATAAACCTAAATCCTGAATGAGGGAAATAAAGATATTAGCTTTTACTGAGTTTGAACTAGGTACCAGATGGAGGGAATTCCATGTTGGAAGAGATCACTCCCATCATTGAAGGATGAGGTATAGAAAAGTTTAATCCACCTATAAACGGAAAGACTTCACAGATTTCCTCAGTAAACCTCTATATCCAGTATTTTAGACCTAAAAACTTCACAAAACAACTTTGATATGACTAAAAACACAGGGGAGAAAAGGTCGATGGGAATAGAGAAAACTTGGTGCCTTGGTCACACTGTTACTGCAGTAGAATGCCCATGAAAACGGCATTCAGCCTTTAAGGAAATTTGAACAAGATAGGATTGATGATTGACTTCTAGAACCCTCACACATCAGCTACGCAGGTTCACCTGGATCATTTCATTAACCTTGCAGCATCATGACGGAGTATTTTAAAAAATTAGAAATTTTGGTATACCATTTGAGTGTATGGCAGAGTTTTCGTTTATTAGGAATTTGTGTGGGTCAGGCTCAGGCTGTATGTGCATTATCTTATTGAATATCCAAATAACTTCATGGGGTCAATGGTGTTATCATCTCCATTTGATAGGTGAGGAAAACTGAGACAAGAAATTTAGCTTCATGCAAGGTCCCATTGCAAGTGAGAGAGAGGACAGAGATCTGAACTTGGGTATGTCTCACTCGGAGGTCCTTATTCTTCACCACCACCTATGGCAGGGGCATCAAACTCATTTTCACCAGGGGCCACATCAGCCTCGCGGCTGCCTTCAAAGGGCCAAATGTAATTTTAGGACTGTGTAAATGTAACTGCTCCTTAATAGTTAAGTGAGAGCTTGGTGCTGCTGCCAGGTAGAAACAAGGTGCCAGGCCAGATAAAACAAGGTGGAGGGCTGGACTTGCCCCGAGGGCCTTGTGTTGACCACCTGTGACCTATGGCTTCTGTGTGTTAATTAATGTGCCCATTCTTTCCACACTTGAAAAACGTTTTATTACCCTACAGTCCAATGTGCTCAAACTCGCGATGAGCTCAGGAGCAGGGACTATGTGAGATACATTTAATATGGAGCAAAGACAGCAATCCATTGCATTGACCTGGAGTTGGGACAATTTGACAAACTATTGATTTATTTTACAACTTCATTGAGGTACAATTGAAGTACAATGAACTGCTTATGTCTAGAGTGTACAATTTTATACAGCTTTAACAAATGTATACACCCATGAAAGCATCACAATAATCAAGGTACCAATTATTTCTATTTCTTTAAATTTTCCTCCAGCTCCTTTGTAATCTGTTCTTACCTCTGTCAAGATCCAATAGCAACTACTGATCTGCTTCCTGTCACTAGAGATTTGTTAACATTGTTTTAGAATTTCATATAAATAGGAGCATACAGTATACACTTTTTTTTCATTATGCTTTTTTCACTTGGCATAATGACTGTGAAATTCATTGGAAATTTCTATTTGTTGAGCATGCCAATATTTTAATTTTATTGCTGAGTAGTTTTGCATCATGTGGACAAGCCACAAGGGGTTTAATCACTTACATATTGATGGGCATTCAAGTTGCTCTCATTTTGACTATTACAAATAAGGTCACTATGAATATTTGTGTACAAGTCTTACTGTGGGTATATTTTCATTTTTCTTGGGTAAAAACCCAGAAGTGGACTAGCTAAGTGGGATGATAGGGATGTGTTGAACTTTTAAAGAAACTACCAAGTTATTTTCTAAAATTATTTTCTAAAGTTATTTTCTAAAATGATTGTAGTATTTTACATTCTCATCAACAGGGTTCCACATCCTCACCAGCCCCTGGTATTGTTGGTTTAACACACACACACACACACACACACACACACACACACACGACTCCCCCAAAGCAGAATTTATTTATTTAAAAATTGTGTATTTATTCTTACATGTTTAAACATCATTCACCTTCAAAGTACTTTCCATTTGATGCAACATACCTGTTGAGATATATTTTTTTCCAACTGCTCAGAACAGTTTTTGAACTAGTTGATTCTGATGTCCTTCTGCCATATTTTGTTTTACCTCTTCCACCTTAGCAAAACATTTCCCTTTGAGGATGTTTTTCAACTGAGGGGAAAAAAAGTCGCCTGGGGTGAGATGGGGTGAATACAAAGGGTGGGGCACAGGGATCAGGCTGTTTTGGTCAAAAACTGCTGAACACTCAGCACTTTGTGGACAGGTGCATTCATAGATCACCCATCACGAAATGGGCAAACGTATTGAAAGAATCTCCAAAAAAAATTCATTGAAGCCAAATGCAGCCTCTCACAACAACACTAGCTGGCACACTGATACAGATGGGTTCCTAGAACACTCACCTAGTTGGAGAAGCCTATACTTCTGGAAGCAACCCTCCAGACAAATCCGGACAAAGTTTGTCTAGATTCCAGACAAATCCAGGAGATGCGCTCATAGTTAAGAACATGTCAGTGGTAGTTAATCTGCCCTGAGGTTTGTAAGAAAGTCCATCAAGGTGGCATGGAGGCAGCCACCAGAATGTACCCCACTCCTCCCCACCCCAGCCATGTGGGCGAGGTGAAACACAGAAGGTGAAGATCCGGGTAGCACTGGGATTTTTCAGCTTTTATATACTATCTACTCATGCTATCTTTATAGATATTTAAATAACATTGTTCTCAGAAACACATGTAGTCAGAGTGTGGCTAAAGATTTTTTGTTAGACTAAGGGATGGGAGCTCTTGTGAAGGGGAACTTCACAGCAAAGATACTATTTAATGAAACTAATTACCTGTGGAACTCATAGAAAGAAGGACAGAGGACCTAGGTGCAATATAACATAAAACTTGACTATTCAGAAAAAAAAATATATCTCCATCCAGAATTATCTTTGTATATATAACTATATATATTATATATAACTATATATATTATATATGGCATTCTACTTTATGCATAGTGGTATCTCCTTATAAAATGTAATGTAAAATTTTTGCTGTATATATATATATATCTAGCAAGAGGCAAACAGGACCATTCTTTATTGGTGTTTAGAACAAAAGGCATATACATAGACTATACTATGCTTAGGAAGATAGATTTTTTTATTGCTAGTTAACTGTTTTATGCCTTGTGAATGTTGATATATATAACTTCTCAATTCTGGGCTTTATTCTTATAAAATCTCAAACCCAGATTAGCACGGAAAGTTGATCTGGCAATGAGAACTTGCTAAGATAGTAGAAACTCACTGAGAATTAGTATGCTTGCAGAATGATGAAACATCAGATCGTGTTGCCACTGAAGGTGGGAGAGGTTATCTTTTTTGGAGATCTGACATAGGTTGACACTATTTTTTAGATTCTTAAATAATTATTCCAATCGTTGGCTCAAGAATCCTGTATGCCTGCTTCCCACTGATGGAAGAGATGTCTGAAGCCATGTGACCTTTTCAGCTAAGGTGCCAGAGAAAACTCCATTGAGAAAGTCAGAAAGTGTGGGGGTAAATGCATGAAATTCGAATGAGATGAATGTGCATGTGATTATGGCTTTATAGTTGATGGTTTCCACTTTTCGAGCCTCAGTTTCCTTTGTATCTACTTACAAAGGTCTTTGTAAAAATTAAATGGACAATATATGTGAAGGCCTTGACATACAGTAACAATTAAATCAATATAAATTTCTTTATTTTCCATAGGTCAGTATTTAAAACATTAAAACAGTATGTTCCGTACTTACCTGACAGGGGAGATGCCATGATCATGAAGGTGGTTTTCCCAGGGCGAGCCTCACCCACTGCACTCTGGGTGTGCTGACCCCTCCAATTTCCCCAAATGCGGGAAACTTGACCGCATAGTTTGTGGTAGTGGGGGGCTGCGTCTGCACTCTCCCCTGGTTAAAAGGAAACAAAAACAAAACAAAAAACAGTAAGTTCACCATTTTTTGAGAATTATTTTTTTAAAAGTTGAAACTTCTTTGGCATACCATTTTTCTTGCATTTGTGTAATTAGTTAAGCAATGGATTGGTTTCTCCTCTCGACTATAAATTCCATGAAGACAGCAAACTTGTCTACCTGGCCCACAGTAGTATTCCGAGATGTTGGCATAGAAATTGGTACACAGTAAGCAATAATATTTATTTCTTAAATAAGTGAATAAATGTTGCTTGAAAGTCATTCCTATGAACTGTTGGTCTCTGGAAATCTTCTTAATTGCCTGTTTTTCCTCCAGAGAGGCCAAGATACCGGAGTGCATTCCAATCAGCAAAGGCAACGAAAGTGAAAAAACATACACAGATGGCCAGAGGCGATTCAACTCATTCTTCTTTATTTCAGGAAGTAACTCCCCAAATAAAGTATATTTTTTTGATAGGGCTATTTTGTCCCATGAGAAGGTTAATGGTTAAATCAAAAAAGTCTTGGTTATGAATGTTGTAACTATCTGCTTTCACATGTTTATTATGAATGGGCAAGCAATTTCCTTTTCTGCTGTCAATTTCTTCAAGTGTAGTGGCTCTTCAACTTTGTCAAAGTACTTGGTGTACTCATATAACACAACCAAAGTTAGGCCCTGTCTGCAAAGTGGAGAGCTATTGAGATTCTGGCTTTTTATAACATTCAAAAGAGACTTTGAATGACTGCACGCAAATCCGAACTCTACAAGAATGACCCGGTGGAAGAATTTCGTACACACAGGGACCAAAATCGGAGGGGCCCTCTGCGGGGCACTCAGGGACGTGATGGGAGGTGAACGCAGCTAGCTGACTTCTCGGCTGTGCTCAGTCCATTAGTGACAAGGTGCAGCTGGCAGCTGAATTTTCCCCTTCCATTTCCTCTGTCAAGAAAATGTATATTTAAGAAAGAAAGCTAGGCGGAAAGAAAGGCAAAAACTACAAAAAAAAAGGAACAAGAAAGGCAGCCCACTTTATTGATTCCCTGCCCCCTACAATTCGTTCTTTAAAAAATAAAAAGAAAGAAATGCAAGAATGTGTTTTTGGAACCATCTGAAAAAATGTGTGTGTTTATTTCCAGTAGGACTCGAACCAGGTTTGAGATAATATTAAGTTTAGTTGACAGCTTTTCAGCAGAAGGGCTAAAAATTCAAATTCTCAGTTCTTACTACAAGTGGAGTTTTGCTTTAAAATTGTCAAATAAATATGTTTGGGGAAGATGATAATTAGGAGTGAACAGATGGCCATTTTTAGCTGAGATATTAAGTCTAGTTATTTAATAGAATCATTTGCCTGTTGGAGTCAATAGGTGTGATGTAGTTAGTATACTGGTTGGCAAGACATCAAGTTTGTCAAAGCTAATTAGGAACTGTGATATAGATTCGAGTTCCTTATACGGTTTTTTGGAGTGGGGAAGTGTTAGAGTGAGGAGGAAGATTTCAACACCGGGCTGTGCTATGCCAAAACTCTATGCTGGGGTTCTGTAGACTCAAGGATGCAAAACCAGAAGTATTTCCAAGCAACAGCATTGTGGTTGAGTGAAAAGGGCACTGGATCCTCGCTTCTACTTCTGCTTTGCTCCTCAGTCACCCCGTGACCTAGGCAGGTCCCTGAATCCCTCCGGTTTCCAGAGTCCTCATTTTTCAAATGGAGAAGTGTTGTGATTAAAATGCAATTCAGTTAATTTCCAAAGCATTGTCTAGGTGGGAAGTTGTTACGAGCTCAAAGGATACTTCCATGCCTTTGTGTATTGTGGACACTTTTCTGTCTTCTTTTTAGTTGAGTGCAAAATATTACTTGAATCTTCCAAGTGCCAGGGTTGCAGTCTGCATCTTTCTCCTTTATGCACTTTGATATTTTAAGGATTTAAAAGGCTAGGGCTGTGTGAGCTACAGTTTTCAGCCAAATCCAGGAGATAAGCTCATAGCTAAGAACACGTCACTGGTAGTTAATCGGCCCTGAGGTTTGTAAGAAAGTCCATCAAGGCGGCATGGAGGCAGCCACCAGAATGTTCCACCCCCCTCCCCACCCCAGCCGTGTGGGCGAGGTGAAACACAGAAGGTGAAGATCCATGTAGCATTGGGATTTTTCCAGCTTTTATATACTATCTACTCATGCTATCTTTATAGATATTTAAATAACATTGTTCTCAGAAAAGCATGTAGTCAGAGTGTGGCTAAAGACTTTTTGTTAGGCTAAGGGATGGGAGCTTTTGTGAAGGGGAACTTCACAGCAAAGATACTATTTAATGAAACTAATTACCTGTGGAACTCATAGAAAGAAGGACAGAGGACCTAGGTGCAATATAACATAAAACTTTACTATTCAGAAACAATAATACTCAGAACTATCAACAACTGAACCTAAAAACAAAAACAAAACAAACTAAGCAAACGACTAGAACAGGAACAGAATCACAGAAGTGGAGATCACATGGAGGGTTATCAGTGGGGCTGGGGAGAGGGGAGAATGGGGGGAAAGGTACAGGGAATAAGAAGCATAAATGGTAGGTACAAAATAGACTAGAGGAGGTTGAGAATAGTGTAGGAAATGGAGAAGCCAAAGAACTTGTACGTATGACCCATGGACATTAACTAAGAGGGTGGGGGATGGTGTTGGGAGGAGGGACAAGGTGGAGGGGAATAGAGGGGAGAAAAAAAATGGGACAACTGTAATAGCATAATCAATAAAATATACTGAAAAGAAAAGAAACAAAATAGGTATCATTTTACTAAACGAGAAGGAAGGTGATGTCTTCACAAGTCCAGTGTTTGCCAAATACATAAGTCACTTAGGGGAAAGGGATTTGTGATCATCACCCCCAACATCTTAGACTCATTATCGTCAAGTGCACATTCCCGCAACCATTGTAAGGAGTGAGGTCTGCTTTTTAACTAATGGATGCTCATGGACTCAGGGGCAGACGATAGCTTCCCCAAGAGGTATCATGGGACCTGTGAGATGACAGCACACCCCGATGCGCAGCCCTCTGCTTCCGCAGAGAAAGTCGGAACCGCCGCACACTGTTCCCATGCAGTCCTGGCTGAATCAGATGGGGCACTGGCCACCCCCGCCCCCGAGTCTTTGGATGCTTCTGTCTGAGTCTGAGCCGTTGGCCAGATGGATTATAGGCCTGCCTCGGGTGGTATTTCTTAAGGTTTTAATTAGACCTGGATTTATCAACTGCATGGCTGGTGCCCAGAATCAGGCAAGGACGAGAAACCTTCCCAGCAAGCATTTTCTTCTCGCATAATCAATGTCAAAACACTTCTTGCTTTGTATACAATTCATCTGACTAATGAGTGTGTCTGAAACTTAGAAATCCCTTTTTATTTACTTTAGAACAAGATTTCCTCATTCCATAATTTCTGAGCCTCTTCATGGAGCTGCCCAGTAGCTTAGGCTTTAGAAGGGGTGGGCAGAGGCTGTGGAGAGGGTGGCAGCTGTTGCTTGGAAGTTGGAGATGATTGAAAAAGCAAATGGAAATATCAAATTTTCAGAATTGAGTTTCTTTATTATCTATATAAATTCTTCACTGTGGCCGTGTGTCGAATGTGCCAAAAGCAACCAGGTATGGAATGTAAACAGGATCGAGAATCTTACCAAATAAAAAATATGTATGTAGAGAGACAGGCTTTATTAGTAAACATATCTTAAATAATCGCAGATCATTATAATTAAAAAGCTGAATATGAACTAAAAGTTTAGTTTGAAACGTGTATGTTGGTTGTCATCTGAACTCATGACTGCTGGTTTGGAACTGCCCCCTTTAGGTATGGCTGCCTCCTGCTGGTGCTGGCGGCTCGCGTCTTCCCTGACCACTTTCTCTGAAACAGCTTGTATTTCAAAAAGCCCTCGCCTGTCTAGTCCAGGGTACAAAAGGACAGTAATGGCAGAGACCACAGCGTGTGCCTTTCATTCCCTTGCCTTTTATTGGGTCAATGGGAAGTGAGAGGAATGAAAATACACCACGTGTGGGTCATCTCCTTAATGATGAGACACTCACCCTGGACATTCTTTGTTTCTTTCCCACAGGCTGAAGTGCAGACACGGTGTTGGTGAGCTGCTCTGACCATGTGCATGAGGACACTGCCCTAGGGCATGGACAGGGTGGTCGAAGGAGTCTTGGTCTTGGAAGTCCTTACAGGTGGAGCCACCTTCTGGCGCTGGACAGGTCACCCCTGAGACACACACACGCACACACAACTTTTATTTAATTTGAGCATCTGTATTTCTGATCTCTTTGTTCTGGAAATTTAGTTGTACCTTAAACAATATACTTTCTACTCCATCTTTTATTTCATTTTCTTCATAACAGTTACCAGTATCTTTATCTTATTTATCTGTTTACTTGTTTATTATCTTTCTCCCCTCGCTGGAATGAAATTTCCATGAGAACAGAAATATTGTGTTAACTCTACATCCTTGGGGCTAGAACAGAGCTTGGCACATTGTAGGTGCTCAATAAATACTTGTGAATTAATCGATTAATTAGTTGTAATTAGGTAAGTAATAATTAGTGCATTAGCTATAAGAGTACATTTGAAAGGATTGTTATAAGGCTACTGAGGTGACAACTGACTATCTGTAAGGGTGTGGCTCCCATTTGGGCTACATCATCTTTCAATGGGAAAGTCAGATTGTTCTGTCCTGTGCCACATCCAAGCCTCAGCAATAAGAAGCCCAGGTCTAGGGCTCGTTTGAAAGTGGCAATTGTTTAATTCTTTTGTTGTTTCAACTGGGATAGTTTGGTGGGATAGGATGAGATGAAAAGGGGGAAAAGTGTGAGCAAAAGTGGCGGGGTGACCAAGGTGAAGGGATTAAGAAGTACAAATTGGTGGTTACAGAACAGTCACGGATGTAAATGACAGCATAGGGAATATCGTCAATAATATCGTGATAACTCTGTATGGGGCCAGGTGGGTACTGGAAATATTGGTGGTGG